AAACTCTATTTAAGAACTGTATTACATATAGACGCTAACACGCACAAACACACATATTCATACAATCGAGCAAAAATAACAGGATCATTATAAAAGAAAATTGACCAAACCACTCTATATAGATCCATCTAGCTTTTTATTTTTTATTTGACTCAATTGAGTCTATATAAGAAGATAGAGTCGGATAGTGTTCTTGGCCTAGTGTTAACGTGAGACCCTTACAGGAATGAAATCCAGCTCTGATGATGTCCATCACGTGATGGACGAAAGCTCAGCACGTTTTTACCCTAAACGAGGGAGGAAATCTTGTGGACTGAGTCAAAATGAATATCATATAAAAGCCAAACGGCTGCAGTACAATGAGATTCATCCGTCTTCATCTGGTGACATCGACCAACGAATCTTTTCTTCATTTACTTTCATGCGAACTGAAAGCCATCCTAATAAAACTATGTGGCTTTCGATATTTTTTAAGAGATTTAATTTAGCATACTGTCAAGGATAATCTAAAAATATCAAAATTGCTCAGATATATCTCATGAAATCTATTCTTCCTAACTCTCATTATCAAAGAAGATTACGGCAATTTTCGATTTCATCTAAACTTATTAACTGGATCTCTATGAAGTATATTCTTCTGGCTACAAAATAGCGAGCTGTCTATCAATTACCTCACGTGAAATATCCAGTTCTTCTTCTTATATGTAAGTTAGTTTCCGGCAAGCAGTGGTTAACCTTACCAAGCAAACTTACTTTGCTTGTGTACTTTTAGCTCTAGACCTTTTATGATGTTCCTATAGATTTTCCGAATATATCTTGACTTTTCTTATTGAAATTGAAGAATGAATAATAAAAAAATGAATGATAGATTATTGAGCGAACAGTATTTGCATGCATCTTACATATTCCGGCTTATTTGCCTGTCTTTAAAAGAATAAATGCTACCTTTATATTGCTATTCACATTAAAAATCTTGAATTAAGAGAAGGATTGTCTTTTTAGAAGAGTTTTAATTTTTTTATATTCTAGTCTGTTTTTAAATCGTGAACTGAACCAAGAATAAAGCGTTTTTAATACAGAAAAACTTTGAAATATATTTTAAATAGGGGTACTCATTCACCTAGGCATCTTGCCAAATATTTAAAAGAAACAGGTAAATTTGCTCAAGGTTTCTGTGTCCTAAATTCTATCAACCGATTTGATAACATCAAATTACTTATGGTTTCTGAGGTAAGCAAAAATCTGTACTGAATATTCTAATATTTTTGAGTTCCAAATTATTATATGCTTCCCTAACAAAATATTGCGTATCTTGGAGCAAATTGTATAAATCGGCTCAAAACCCCTCATTTAAAGAGATATTTCTTAATAGATAGGTTTAAAAACGTAAAATAACCCGATTTTTCGTCATTTACATGGTTTTGCCTTTTATATCGGCTTAAATTATCTTTGCTCTGGTGGTTATTCTAGTATTTGAATGACATTTGCATTTTATATTTGCTAATGAATGTTTAGGTATCGACTAGTGAGCTTACTTCATAGTAAGTGAGCTATAATAAAAAATAAATATAACTGAAAAACACCTGAGCAGGCGAATCTAATAAATCAACAAGTCACTTTAGCATACATAATTTATATTAAGGAGGAAGTTGCTTTTTAGGAAGTGCTTTCCAAATATGGCTACTAAAGCCTTCACACAATTATCTATGATAACTCTCTCATTTAGTAACATAGTACAGTTGAAGGAGGCTATACTTCTTAACATCCATTGTGCTTCGACTATACTAACTTACCAAGCAAGAAGAAAACATGTATAGAAATCCAGCCGCTTTCTGTTTTATAAGAAAAAAACAGGATGCTCATTACTAGAGAACAATAATTAAACATTTTGGTCCTCTATCCATAGCATAAAATAAACGATATCTAAGATCAGTCCAAATATCACATTTTTGGCTTTGTATTGCCAGGATGATATTCACCAAGGCCATTGTTCCGTCCTCCTTTCCATGTTATATTTATCGTATTATATATATATATATATATCATGATAATTGGTTTCAAGGATGATGCGAACTCACAATCGACTTACAGAAATCTGTTTGATGGTTTATCCGAACAGGAACAATATTCATTGTGTGACCTAGTTTTTTTAAATGTAAAGTTATATTTACTGAAATGTGACATGCGATGAGTTTATAAGATGGCTAATTTGGAAAAAAGATGTTAGTTCGCCTTTGATTCTTCCGTATTTTACTAGCCCCTATCTTAAAGAATTTGGCTCACTGGCCGGCCATCATAGAAGAAAGCATATGATACTTAGTAAAATTTGCTGAAATTTGCAGAAAGCATTATATTATTGGAGAATCTTTAGATTTGTTAGAATGAAGATATTAGTTAGGCAAAAGTATGAGAACAACCACAGATTATAAGCTCATACAAACACCAGAAAGATTCTATAGATCAAGTACGTGTTCTCTAGAATTGAAGTAGATTTTTCCAGTAAATAAATTAAAATTTATGGCAAGTATGATTTAAAAATTATATCTGCTTTACTTAAAGTCGTCCCATTTTATAATTGTCATGAGAACACAACCACTTTTTTTCTAGCCTATTGAAAAGCATTCAAAATCTGTGATGGTTAGTTGAACGATAAAAAATATTTGTAATCAAGTTGATGGTAATGCGGTTATTATCAATGATATTTAAAATCTGCAGTTTTTGTTATCTTCTTATGCTTCCTAGACTACAATCTCTCTTATACGTGATTATCATATTTACTCAAAGGAGTATTCGAAATTTTGCCAGATACCTTATATTACTGATAATTTATTGTGAAATATTCCACAATCATTTAAACGATTCTAAATTCATGAAATCACCAGAAAAACTATATGTAAGTAAACTTACATGAAAAAATATGGAAATTTCCACTAGCTCTCTCCTTTACTTGAATTACTATATATATATATACATATATACATATATTCTTCTTCAGTGAGCGTTACGAAATTTAATATTAAAGAATTGTTCAATAATTCACCCTTAAAAAGTGTGGGCGGCATTTTTATTCTAAGTCGAAGTGTCCTAATCTTGATAAGGTATCATAAAAATAAATATCAAGATTAAATGATCAATACTATTTTGGTAAATTTTTGCATAAATATTTTTCGCTTTTTTCTAGCAGCTAACTATGCTCAAGAAAAATTAAAAAAATAATTTTCATTAGCTAAAAAGGTAAACATTGATTATTTTCCTTAAAACGCGTTTCGGCTAGTTTTTGATAGCCAAAATTCTGTACAAGGCTTTCTACTAGGTGATTTACATGGGACTTATCTGACGCATTTTCTTAATTCTAGTATATTACTACATATCATTCTGTGTATATTTTACATTATTCATTTCCATTAGAGTCATCAAAAGCATGTTTTATCAATAGAGATTTCTCAAAAAGTGCTTCAAAGAGGAAAAAAGTGCAGGCACAAAGTATTAACATGTAAAGTCCAAATAATCATAACAAAAGGATTTAGCAATTGCAACGCAGTGCTTCGCATAGTTTCATGAAAAGCGTTAAAGTCTGACGAAAAAGATCGAATAAACTTTCTATTTATTCCGTCTAGATATTTACGATTCTTGTCCATTCTGATATCATATTCATGCCATCACAATTCGTTAATAAAACTTGCAAGGAATAGAATTTTGTATGGCTAAGAAGAACAGATTGCAATTACTTAGAACAATGGTTAACTTAATGCATTAATTTTATTGTAATATGGTTTGGATACGTAAAAACTAGTTTGGGCAGCCATATTTATTATAAGCTAATGTATTGGAATTTCTATGAAAAATCTTAGGAACTTAATATGCCTTAGGTTTAGAAAAGCCTTATCAAATGAATCCCTATTCTTTTCCTCATTTATTTGTCTATTATCATAGATAAATTCTCCAGATTGTGGTTAAGGATGTAATTCAGACTCTTTCTTGGATGTTGCTAAGAGAGGTAGATAAAAGGCGAACACGTAAAGCATCTATATGTGCCTTCTCTCTCAGCTCTCGCTCTCGATAGCGGTTGTAAAGGATCGTGAAGTTTGAGACGATCATAGGGACTGGCAGAGTTAGTGTGAGGAGACCAAATACGGCGCAAACGCTTCCTACAAGCTTTCCACCCAAGCTTATAGGTACAAGATCGCCATAGCCTACCGTAGTCATTGTGATTAGAGCCCACCAGATCGCTTGAGGCAGACTGTTTATGCCACTTTCCGACTCACAGATAAAGATCAATGATGCAAATATTAGTAAGCCAATACAGAGGAAGAGCATATAAATTGTCAGCTCATGTGTGCTGCTTACCATCGTGGAACCAAGTGTCTGTAAACCTATAGAATAGCGTGCCAGTCTGAGGACTCTGAGAACCCGAAGTAAGCGAACCAGGTTGAAGCCTTGCGATATCACATCGCTTCGAGCGGAAGGAAGGGAGCGCCAGCAGACAAGAGTTAGAACCAGCAGGAGTAGATAGGCAGAAACACTACACAAATCAATTATATTCAGACTACGCTTGAAGAAAGCAGATACCATATCAAAGGTATATAACCGTAATAGTAACTCCAAAAAAAAAAAGCTAAAACAAAGAGTCTCTAACGAAAAGAAAGCCAAATGGGGACAATGGTGATTGTCTTCGTAGATCTCGACCTCATCAATCGAACCATTCCAGCTTAACGGGAAGGCAAGAAAGTAGGTTTTGTAGACTGGCAGAGTTTCAATAATGGACACAGTCACAGCAAGTATGGTGAATAGTACTGATGTGGCCGCAAAAGCTCTAGCCACCTGAGAACTGGTAGGGTGAGCCAGGCAAAAAGCAGTAGCGCTCCACCATTTCTCCCTGTTCGTCTTATAGAAACTTTCGCGTGTCATCATGTGTTCAGACAAGGTTTCAGTCTTGATACGAAAAAACTCCAGCTCGCGCAAAAAGATCTCATCTGGAACGTTGTTTGGAACTTGAAGGCTGCCACCCGTCTGATAGAAGGCAAAGATGGCTTCAAAACAAGCTCGGTTTCGACTAAAAAAAAATTCGTCTCTAACCGGATCGTAGTACTTAAGTCGGGCCTCTGGATCACCCAATAATGTGGTTGGGAATCGCTCGAGCTGGTCCAGGCAGATTTCGAAGTGCAGTCCCCCCACATTAATAGTGATACGATCTTGATTTTCCTTTGATGTAGGAGAGATTGGCTGGGGAGTTTGAACAGAAGAAGTTTGAACAATACCGCTTTACCACCAGACCATCGCGAAACAAACGAGTAGAGGTTATTGATAAAATAAAAAAATAGTGTTGTATTCAATGGTTTGAAAATAAATAACTCAATATTTGCCTGACTCTTGCTTTTATTTGTACATTGACTGCTGGGCTTATAGCATCACGGTTTCTATTGCGACTATTATGTCTGCTTAAGGCTAGCAAGTCTGACTCATTTTCTCCTTTTGTCATTTCTTGTCTTAAGTAAGTCTTATATATAGAAGCTCCGACGTAATTATAGTTAAAATATGAATACTAAGAGTTCGTACTCTTCTTTTCGCCCAGTCTATAATCAATTATTAATTTATGAATTAGTAACTCAATTAATAAGGCATTATTGCGGATTCGGCCGTAACATCTCTCATTTTTTATGGCTGAGCCCATAATGAGAATTTTATCTATGATTAAACTTTATCATAGCTCATGTGTTAAAAACAATAAAAATAAACCGAATGTACAAAATCTGTGCTCCTGGCCTTCGTAGAATTTATTTTGACCCAAACTTCTCAGAAATTTGAGGATTTGCCTACATAGGCCTTCATTGTAGGGTTGAATATGTAAGAGAAAAGAATGTTGGAGTGTCTACTGGTGATACAAGACTGGCAAAGGCAACAAATTGTCTTATATATGTAGATTCAAAGGCGTTATTTTCATTTATCTAATGAACTCAAATTAAAAACTATGGCACAATAATCTGCCCGCTTATAGTCCAATTAAATACTTAATCTTCC